AAACCATTAGTGAAAAGGCCAGACTTCAGGGGTATCTGAGGCAGGCTTGAAACACAAGAGTCAGGGTGGCTTCTGGGTAATACCAGATGGCTAGGCCTCAGACTGACGAAGCCTCTTGGATGAGGGGCGAAACGTTTCTTTTTTAACAAAAAAAACGAAGTCCAGATGACATGATTCAACCTTTTTTGTTGTTATATACCTGGATGTCTGAGAAAACAAACTTACTGTTTAATCACGTTATTAAAATAATCTTTTGACATAAATCTGCACTCGGACAATGAGTCTCTCTCCTTGAAAGTTTTCACTACCATTATTAAAGTACAAGTACTTTATTCAACAAATAAATATATGGTAATAAAGTACAAGTACAATGTGTGCTTTAAAAGTAGAATTTACACGAAAACCTGCAGGAGATAAAGCCTAAATCATGTCCCGTCCGTGCAAGCTGCTGCTCAGCACCTACAGGTGTGCAGGTCGGCTCTCAGGTACCTGTTTCATGAGACTTCCTCAGCATCTGTAGACACACGAAACAACAACCAAGAATGCTGTTTTTACGTCAGATTCTTTACAATAAAACCGAAAGAAAAAGTTATAAGCAAACAAAGAAATAAATAAAACCAGTCGGAACCTACCAAAGCGTCCGCCTTATCGAGATCAGTGAGCTGGTACTGCAGCTCCGGAGCCCGGTTCTTGCACCACGGCCCGGGCTTCTCTCCGGCCCGCAGCCGAGCCCAGTCGTGAAGTCTCCTCAGCACCGGGGCTCCGGCGCGGGCAGACCGGCCGAGCGGCTCCGCCAAGCGGCCGAGGAGGCTGGCGGTCCGCGGCAGCCGCCTTCGCATAAATAGAGTGAGAAAGGCCATCACATCACCGAAACCGGCTGGTTAAAACCTGTATTTATATGTACAAGACGAAGGCAAAGGCGCAACACGGCCTACGCATGCGCACTACGGTCAAGAACAACCCGGAAGTATCCGTGAACAGGTGGACTGGGGAACCACAGCGCCACCCAGCGGAAGGTCATGATAAACAGAAGGCCAAATTTGTGCAACTAAATTTATTCAACCCAGAACCCTATAAATAAATCTCTTTATAGGGCTCTGATTCAACCTTTAATTCAGAATCAGAATCAGTTTATTATTGCCATGTCAATGAACGAGGTTCACAAACTAGGAATTTGCTTTGACATAAGGTGCGAATAGTAATAAAGTAAAATAAAGTAAAAATGAAAACATTACATAAGACATAAGACCTGTGTACACCCAGAAATAAAGTAAAAATGAGAACATAACATAAACATGTGTACACCCATACAATAGAAAACAATAAAAAAGCTTAGAAAACAGTACAGATGGAGTATTCAATTATAATACAGATGTAATGTGACCAAAGCAGAAATTATGAGGTAGCGTTATGAGTGTTCAGGAGTCCAACAGCAGAGGGGAAGAAACTGTTCTTATGGCGGGAGGTTTTGGTCCGAATGGACCAAAGGCTCCTGCCTGAGGGGAGTGGTTCGAACAGACCGTGTGCAGGGTGAGCAGGGTCAGCTGTGATCCGACCTGCTCGCCTTACAGTCCTGGAGACGTACAGGTCGTGGAGGGATGGAAGGCTGCAGCCGATCACCTTCACCAATCACCATTTAGACAGGTAAATCCCATTGAGCCTCGAGGACTCATTTACAAGAGAGACTTGATTTCAACAAAGAATGATGACAACAATGGACAACAGCGACAACAATAAACAGTTATAAAAAGTCATATTCCAGTTTTTTTTTTTTTTTAAACAAATAGTATGGCTAAAAGAAAAAGGTAACAAAAAAGTTCAATATTTCCAAAAATACATATTTTTTTTATTTAGCTGGTATTAAAATTGCTCTAAAGTGGGTCCTTGTAACTTTGTCTAAAGACTAAATTGGGTTGGAATTTTATCTACGTTTCAAATTCACTAATCAGTTTTCAGGTCATAAAATATTTTAAATTTTTAGTCTGTTTATGTTTTGTTTATATTGCTTTTTCACATACAGTACAGTCATTCTTCAAATATGCAAGAAAATTTACATTTTTTAACACATTTAGGGCAAATTGTTGTGGATGCGGAAATTAAGAGTTTTTCACATCCAGTGAGTATAAGGCACTGAAATGTGGTGGTACAAACTTAACAGCTAGATTATTTACAAGATTTTAATGACCAAGTATAAAGCTCTACCTTTAATAATAAAATAATACGTTGATAAAAGTTGTGGTTTGTCTTTTAAGACTTTAGGCTAACACTGAGATTGTTGTTTTTTTTTCCACAAAGAATGAGAAGGACTCATCCAGGTCTACATTAATCTAAAAAAATAATTAAAATTAAACAAATGTTTTCGTGCAGAATTATGGAATGTTTTGTTTTTGTTTTGGCCTTAACACTTAAAGACTTTTTTTTTTATATATAGTGTGTATAAAAATACCAAGTATGTTCTTAAGAGCCAAATAAATTTAATGTCTTCATACAAACTTAGTTTAGTAGAATAGATGGTTGAAATGGTTGTTTTACACGTAAATGATTATAAAGTGGTTCGTCACCTATATGCACTGTCACATTTATTCCACACGAGGGCGTCAGTGGACAAGTTGAAACTAAACAGTGCTAGGAGCAAGAAACATTGGGGGTGGGGGGGATGGGGCCAGCCTAACAGGTTAAAATAAATAAAATGAATAAATGAGCTCAGGAAACGATTTGTGATCATTTTGAATGCACACAAGTTCAAATATTCAGCTCAGAACTGAAAAACACCCAAAACATCTTAAACAAGAGGTTTGTTGTTATTTACATTTGTTTTCCCCGAAAAACAAAAAAGTTAACATCCAAAAGGATCTGAACTAATTCAACGTCAAATATTGAACTGTAGTAATAATTAAATTTAAATAAATAAATTAATCAGATTGTTTTGCTGTTCAGGCTCTGGCTTTTAAAGTGAAAAACTTGTTCCATGTGTTTGGGTTTTTTTGGTAACTTGGTTACAATAAAACTTTTATGATGATCAGGTCTCACTAAAGGGTCAAACCTTTACCTGGAAGGTCCATGAACTGCTTGAAACATTTCATTGTTTATCAGAAATTGAATAAATAAATGCACTTGCAACCTCATTAAGACCACTTTTATAAACTTATTAGTACAATTTTCTGGAGGTTTTCACATGTGGGGTCAGACAGTGAATCCAGCGGAGAAGAGTCGGCTCTGAACCGTCAAGAAAGGGGGAGGTTTACAAATGTAAAGTGCGAGTGTTTACAAATGTAGATAAACACTGATGTTTAACAACCCATTAAAATACACCAAAATTCTGGAAATTGCTTCTACTTTATTCAAAATTTTCTGGGGGAGGACCCCCCAGACACCCCATCCCCCACCCGCCCAGCTGGTTCTCCCGTTATTTGCATTCTGGTATCGATCGGTTTACAAATTAAGCCCTGGTTATATCAGGAAAACATAATGGCCAAGTCAAATCCAAGATGGCTGCCACCCAGTATATATGTAAACATTGTGAGTTTAATAACTTGAAAAACATTTGACGTGCCGACTTCTGTTTGGTGTTTTTATATTGCTTATAAATACAGTTTCCTCAATTGACTGAGGTGGTTGATGGGGTGACCAAAGATTACCGTAATCTATAGTCTATGCTGGCCAAGGCCACCATTGGCCACCCCCTGGCTCCTCCATTGCACCTGGTTGTTTGTAGCCAATGCTTAGAATTTGTCTGTGCATAGTGCACAGTGTGCATGAGTTTCCAATGTAGAATTTTACCACAATATTCTATTCTGTTGTTTATGTTTAGTTTTTTATAAGTATGCATATTTATTGTTTTAGTCCAGCCCCTTGTTGCTACCTCTTGGTTAGGTCATTGTTGTACATGAGAATGAGTTTTTAATTGATAAATGTTAAATAAAACAATAAGAAAATTAATAAATATCCAGAGCAGTCGTTCAGACAGGGCTCGCTTTGTGGATTCAGAGGCTTTTGGGATGAGTCACACAGTGGAAACAAGGACTGTGGTCAGACAAATCAGTGCTCCAGATATTTATCTGGGTGAAAACGAGCATCGAGTACTGAGGCTTCTATAGTTTTCAACAAGACGTTGAAAAACCACATTCTTTCCACGATTCAAGACATCTCTGTGGAAGAGGAGGAAGCTGGAACTGGCAGCCTGCTTTCTCTCCTTGTTCCTAATAATGACTGAATGCAAAATAAATAAATAAATCCTGTTTGAATTGACTGAGCTGGAAATTGTTCTCTTGGAGTGTCACAGTTCTTTTATATTTTTATATAGAGAAGAATATAAACTTTGATATTTTTATTTTACCCAGACTGTGAAGCACTTTGATCAATCATGTTGTCTGTACAGTATATAGATAAAGTTGTTACATTATTTGGTATCCTCGTTGCCCACATTTTGAGTGATTTGAGAAGAGACAGCAAAAAAAATTAATTATATATATATATATATATATATATATATATATATATATATATATAT